CAAGGTAATTGCCACAGTATTTTAAATTTAAAAAAACAAACAAAAAACTAGTCAGTTTTACGATAATGAAAATAAATAACTAAGCATATAAAGAGATAGAGGCTAACAGCTGAGTAAATACTGTTGACGGAGAATGGCATGGAAGTAATGAGTCATCAATTTTTATTTTGCATAATCTTCAAGATTTTTGATAAGTTTTCACTAGTTTTCAAACGCGACAGTGACGGACATTTTGTTGCTGTCCACTTGCCCAGAAATGGAGCATTTATGGGGCAACCTGTCCGCCATGATGTTGGAACCTTGATTAACGACTAACAGCTGTAATAGTTAAATTAAATTGTTCGGTGTAAATCAGTTAATTTTGTTCATTTTATACAAAATAAAACAATGATAGAATGACTACATGCAGACATTATCCATGTATCTTATAGATGATGTTGAAAACTGTTCCGATTGCAAACATTATAGTGTAGCTAGTATTACAGACAGAGTACTGCTCTCTTCTGATCTGGCAGCTGTTGAAGCATGCATTGTTCCAAGCGAATTGCCTTACCTTTGCAGTTAGTACACTGGGCCCAGAGGGGTTATCTTGTTGCTTGTGCAACACATGGACTCTATAATTATGCCCAGGCTTTGTGCTGTGGACACCAGCAAACACATCCCTGGCCTTGATTGATATCACCATGGATGGTGGCTCCCATGCCTTTCTATAGCAGAATGGAACAGTGTGATCTAGAAAGATGGAAGGTGCCTACAACAATATTTACAAATGCGTGTTCTAATGCTATTGCTGCCTTGAAAATTTTGCTAACTGTGTTTGATTATAAATAGTTTTATGTAAGTTTTCAAACACAAATGTCACTGTATAATGAATACATTATTTGTAGAGTGCATCCCCTTATAGTCAGATATGATTGAATGATGCTGCTGTGGTTATTGCTCTTATTATTGTGATAAACCTGATATCTCTGTATCACATGTTGTGTATCATGTTCACCTGTTAACTCATTATATACCAAGAACATCATCATAAATTGGTCTCTGTGATTAAATGCTTACATTTTCTGCACTCATATGTAATGTAATCTACATTAAAATATTTAGATACTGCAGACATTGTATATGTTTTAGGTAAAAACTTCAGTTGGTTTGGTCATGAATAAAACATGTGTATGGCTTCTTTATAATGAAGATTGGCTACAGTGTACCTCTCTTGCTGTCAGGGGAGGGGGATGGGGGGATATTATGTGGTGAGTCTCCAATTTCTTTCCATGTGTGATTCTTGTATTAAAGGTCCCAATAGCCCGTCTTCAGATTTATTGGGTATATAGGGCTAGACTTATATTTTATATACCTGTGGGCACTTGGTGGGTTATATGGCCAACATCACGCCACTATTTAAAGCTGGGAAGATCTTGGAGCCAAAGTGATTTCTGAAGAAAGTCTGACTGACTCTTATAACACTGTCCGAAAAAAAAAATGTTTGGTCTTAAAGAAGTCCCAAATTAAGGTAATATGGTTTGCTTGGTATCAAATGGGTTAGCTCTTTGAGTCCAAGTGGGTTTAGCACCAGAGGCCAAATGAGTGGTAAAGAGATGTAAAATTGGCACATCTTGCGTTCACTGGCCTTCTAGGTAGGGACCTATGAACGTATGATATGTTTCTTGAGACTGAATGAGTTAATGTCATTTTACCTCTTTCCACCATTGGTAGGGACCTCTCCATCTTTTCAGATGATAGTGCTACAGTGCACCAATGAGAGGCATGGGAATCACAGATCATGGCGATGGCAGTCTTGACCAGGAAGACCCGCTCACGTCGACAAGAGTCTGTAGCACGGATCTTAGACAGTAATGTAGAGACCATTTGTTGCCCATGCAGTATGGTCCCTCTCTCAGCCTGCTGTGCTTACTCCTAAGGAAAGGAAACACAGGTTTGTTACTTCACTTACATTCTGTTAAAATAAAGGACCCATCACCTTGAAGCATATTGGACATAAGTTGCTAGCCTTGTCTTGTTATTGAACCATCAGTACTCATTGGAGGTGTGGTCAGTATCAAGCCAACCACCTTTATTTTCCAAGTCATTTCCTCATACACATTCTAGACTGGATTGACACACAGTGTAACTCTTGGCCAACATGATAATTACAACACCGACAGAATGCCAGTTAATCTAACCATCATATATTCAATGGACTACTGACTGAAAAAGAATGCATTACTTCACTTTTTAGTATTAAGTTATACAAATGTCATCATCTTTTCCTTTAGTTAGAATTCGCCTACATCTACACTTGTGTTTCTTACATGAACCACATTGCTTGCAGGTTCTACAGGGCAGATTGGCATCCATGTTTCAACAGGCTATGGAATGTGCCTCTCTGAGCTGTTTTGAGTACAGTGTTGTAGAATGAATTCATTTGATATAACTTGTGGGACAACTGTATCAAAACGCAGCATTGTTAGCTTCTGTAAATATGATTGAAATGTACAGATGGAACCTATGTGTCCCATTTCATCAAGGCAGATACAGTTTGTTCACCCAGAGTTGGGAACAGTTTGTTCACCCAGAGTTGGGAACAGTTTGTTCACCCAGAGTTGGGAACAGTTTGTTCACCCAGAGTTGGGAACAGTTTGTTCACCCAGAGTTGGGAACAGTTTGTTCACCCAGAGGTGGCAATCAGGTCAATATAATACTCCTGCTGAGCATAATACATTTCATCACTGATAAAGAAGAGTACATTTTCTCATTTAGTATTTGCAGTTGTTGTGCAGTCAAAAAACAAAAATACAAGTATTGTGAATATCTTACACTTATGGCAACTAACAGAAGTAATAAAGTGGTGGTATTGGCTTGCCAATGTCGTGTTAGAGTACTTTTGTTTCTCACTCATTGTATTTGTATTGTGCTGACGTCAACATTACAGGGACTCATGTGGAAATGTTGTCTGGGATATGCAGGAGTGTGAGGAAATGAAGAGATTTTTTGGGCTGCAAAAGCGATAGCTACAGGAATACTTGTAATGGACAAAGGAGACATTCTGAAGACCATTTATGAATGAATACTGATAGAAGACACAAGGCTAATAAATGAAATAACATGTGTAAGAATTTGTGAACAAGGAAAGAGTTGGGGATCAGGTAAGGAAGGACACATGAGAATAAAAGAATGAGTTTATAGTCAGTGGGCTACGGGAACAGTTAGCATCTAACCATGGGACAAATATGCTGCAGGAAACAGAGCATTTATTGGTATGCCCGGTGTGCTATGATGTCGATTCTCAAATCAGTGAATTAAAGATATGCGGAATAGAGGGGGCGGGTCTTCGAGCACACCTGTACAGGATAGGCATAAAAGAATCTGCTGCCTGTGATTGTGGAGCAGAAAGACAGACCCCTGAGCACATACTACAGTACTCCCCTACCTCTCCCAGCAAAGACTGGATCTGGCCCAGGGGATCCACATTCCAAGAGAAGCTATGGGGGACCGGTGGCGACCTTAAACGCACAATCCTATTTTTGACCCAGACGGGACTCAATGTGTAGCATGACCGATGTCGAACGCAGAAGAAGAAGAAGAAGGGGGCCGGTCTCAATGTAAGCCACACTGAAGTAATCAGGCCATTTTCCTCACACTCTGAAGACTGTGGGTTCGTACCATAGATGTGCTGGGAATCTACTCGTCCATTACATGCATACATATTCACTAATAAGAATGAATGCTCAGACTAAACCCTAATCGCTTGAAGCTGTAGTTCTTCACTGTCCCATCGAGACATGTCAACCTCCAACACCCTTATGCTGTCACGTACAAGCATGGCCAGTCCCAAATGGCGCCTGTTGTAATAACAGTTGTATCCAGCTATCCGTAGCGCTCCATCACCAAGGCGCGTCTCCTGCAAGGCCACGTTATCTGATCTGTACACTAGGTTATCAATAGTCGCCCCACCTTGTCTGATGCTTGCGAAGTTCCAATATACAATTTGAAAGTTGTTGAGGTATACACGGACGAATTTGAGCCGATTTCTTCTCGCTTTCCCACATCAACCCTTTCTGCAGCACCATCCTTACCTCTGTGGGTCTTACTTGTGCGGTCAAAACCAACACAGTGTTCCGCCATGATGACAACAAATACCTTAAATCCACCGCGCACAAACATATTTTCTAGATGGTTTCAGCTTGGATGCAATAAACTCAGCACCAGCAAAAATCTGGAAAAAATTTACTTTCTTTGTTTTTTCAGCATCACACTACTATAAACAATGAACGAATTACATTCTTGTTATGCATTAAAAAAGTGGTGGTTAGAAAACACAGCAATGGTGGCTGCCATCTTGCCTCGGAAGTACCTGACACTATATGGATAGCTGCAAATATGATGAAAAATATCCAATTCAAAAACCCCTACCAAGTCAAAAGCAAAAATGTAATATTTATTTTTTAACATTCTTCTTCTTCTTTTCCTTCTTCTTCTTCATCCTCTTTTTCTTCATCTTCTTCTTCTTCTTCATCATCATCTTCTTCTTCTTTTTCTGTCATTTATCCTCCCAACAAAATCATAGGCCCTTCTGTTCTTTGCTCATCCCTTGCCATTCTCCATCCTTTGAACTTCACTCTCTAGCTCTCTTTTCCTTATGTTTTTTTATTTTTTTTTATTTAGTCCGCCTTGATTTTTGTGGGTTCCAAAATAATATTACATTTTTTACTTTACGATTTCACATACAAAATTAAAAATATAGTGGCATATAGAGGAACAAAAATGAATATTTTTATTTGTCAGGTTATCAATTTGTCAAGTTTGTTGGAATAACTTCAAACATTATCCTTCAGTAGAAATTCTGGCTTGTCTCTGTAAATGGTTGTACCTTCATCATGTCAGGCTGGATCATAACTGTTTCCAGCAGTAAAGATGTATACTTTCTGTCCACTTTGCCTGTACTGTCACCCTTGACCATGAATGTCTTGTCAGTGCCTTGAAAGGCCTCACTTTGTCCATGCTTATAGACATAGGACACATCTCAGAAACTAGAGAGAAAAAAAATCTCAGTTAAATATCACTTTCCAAAAACTGGTTATAATAATCTATGATAATTTAGCTAATAAAACACAACCTGAAATAATAATAATAACACTGCTCCTCCTAATTCTTCTTATTCTTTTTCTTCTCCTTCTTTGTTGGCTGCTGCTACTGCTGCTTATTGTTCTTCTTCTTTTTTTTTTTTTTGCTGCAGGTGCTGCTTCTTCTTCTACTGCAGCGGCTTCCTCTCCTCCTTCTTCTTCTTCCTCCTCTTCTTCTTCCTCTTTGTTCTTCTTCTTTGGGTTTACTGGCTATAAACTGAAGCACAAAATTGTGTTCGCCTACCTCTAAACTTTAGTTTTGTTTTAACACTTGAGTTTTTTTAATTTTCCTGCTACATCATAAGAGAAGTATGCTAGACAATTTTACAAAAACAAAGACAGAGGAAAGCGAGAATTCAATTTTGAACAAGTGTTTTTGGCATACCACAGAAAGGTGTCAGCACACAGACACAAGCTGCTGAAGAACATAAGATCTTGGAGAAGCATGATTATTGTGCCTGCCAACAAGGCACTTGATGATGATTGTGAATATGTAGCCTTCTTTAAATAGATAAGGGGGCAATTTTTAAATGAAGAATAAACGTAACAGTTACATATTGTCGTCTTCTTTTTAGTGTTCACTGACTGAAGTGATTACGTAACCACATGTACACAAAATTCAAGATAGGTGTATCAGCCATGTGCACCTGTGGAAAGGTGCCCCAGACAGCAGAGCATGTACTTCAGGACAGCACAAAATTTGACACATTAAGGCAAACCTTTTGGCCAGAAAGAACAACAGTGGAACGTAAACTTTATGGACCACTGAATGAATTAACAACGACAGTGAAATTTATACAAGAGACAAAACTGCTGATATAGACAACTTATTTCAGGCGTACGAAAGAAGAAGACTGACTGAAGGCCACAGTGGAAAGTTCTGGTTGTTCATCCACTTCTGGACTTTAGTCTCATTCCAGAATTTGATTTTTATGTTTAAATTTGACTAAAAAGCAGTAGTTAATCGTCGTTTACAACATGCTTATCGGGGGTGGAGAGCAGTGAATCTCTTCTCCACCCCTCCCCCTAATTGGGGCCCTTGAACCCACACGGACAATAGTCACAAAAGATATAAGTTGAACTAAAGAACAAGAACTAGTCGAGCTTGTAAATCTACTCGATGAAACATCAACCAAGAATGACATGGAAATAAATGCAGAAAAAAACAAAAAGAAATGACTAATAAACCATCTGGCGGAATTTCACCAAATTACGTCAAAGGTCACACACAAAAATAGAACAAGTGACTCAATTCAAATATTTAGAATCCATTTTAAGTGACTTGGGGTCAAGACCAGAAATCATGTCTAGGATTGCCCAGACAACATCAGTCCTTGGCAAGGAGCAAACATTATGGAGATCCAAAAACATTTCATATAAGACTAAGATTTGATTGCTCAGAGCACTAGCTATTAGTACAATTACATATGCCTGTTAAATGTGGACCTCAACAGCTGAACCTGACAGAAAGATACAAGTATTAGAAATGCAATGTTTCAGAAAAATTCTTGGCATATCATACAGAGACTACATTACAAACGAAGAGGTTTGCCATAAAATTATACAGCACATTGGCAACTATGAACATCTTTTAACTACAGTGAAAAGGCAAAAAATGCAATGGTATAGACATGTAATAAAATCCAACTGCCTCTCAAAAACAATACTGCAGAGCTCAGTAGAGGGAAAGAGAAGAGGCAGACCAAGAAAGACCTAGTTACAGAACCTGACTACTGAATGGACAGGCCTCAGGCATGCAACCATGAAGTCCATCGCAACTGACCACCAAAGGTGGAGAGAGCTGAATAGACAGTCAACAGAGTGGCGCGGTGATTTCGGTCACAGGCATGAGGGGAAGTTAATTCTGATGTGATGTGTATAAGGAAATATTCCGTACCCCACTCGGGCGCCAGTACTTCACTGTTCTGGTTTTACGGAACCTCATGCAAGACTCCTGTTGCACGTCCCCGTCGTGCGCCACGGATAATGTCTCAAATGAGCATTAACAGAGTTGGCAGGGGATCTCGGAGCTGGCGGCCCCCAGAGGTGTAGAGTCCTTTCTGGCTCTCACCAGCCCGCCCCCAAACGCATGGGTGAAAAGTAACAAAACTCAAGGACTGCTTGCTAAATGTACCATCAAATGACAACTCTTGGTTAAAATTCGGGAGCGAATGGAAAACTGTGCTGCTGAGACTCAACCCTGACCGAGAGATTTACCCGCAGCCAAGACGAGTAACATCTCTTGTGGGCGACTTCTCGCAGCAAGATCCCACCTACGTACATCCTCTGTCAATCCTCAGTGTCGTCGTCACCGCGCTGAGGTACACCATGGCAGCAACTATTCATATGCTGGCTTGAAAAAAATGTCCGACAAAGTTACACCCCACGGCACACATGCAAGCTCAAAGTCCGACGATCATAACTCGTACCGATTAGGAAAAGTCTGAATGTCCGTATCCACTGGTCCAACTCGCCCGAGTGTTGGGACCAAACAGGTGAAGCCACGCCTGACGCATTTTGCTTCCCCATTCTGTCGTGCTAAGGGCACAGCTGAAACAACGTTAAAGGTGTCTAACGTAAGATGAAAAAGAATGTACCTATTTGTGTGGCCACAAACGTCCTAGACCTGCGGGCTGCTCCCCGCTGATCTCCGGGGAGCGCAGCCTTGTAGCGCGGGAAGCTCAATACACGGTTGTGAGGTTAAGCAGTCATGGGCAGGACGTGACAATTCCTTGGGTGAGCCCAGAACCAGAGCATCATGTGTCGGCTCTGCATTTATGGAAGCCTCCTTGGATGGCGGGGAATGCCCATGATCTGCCCCTGCCTTCCCTTGAGGGCTGAAAACTCTACATAGAGCTGCCTTAAGGACGACATGCCGGGGGCCACACTTGTTAAAAGTCAAAGAGGACACCACACAAATAAGGCAACATCTCGACCCACACAAAACAATGGCCACGTCAACCTAGAAATAGGCTTGACGTCTTCCTCCGAAGTCGGAGTACATCTGCCTGAGAGGCGGGAACGAGTACTGCAAACAAATAAGCCAGTAAAACGGATGTACACGCAAAACTCAGGTCAAGGTAAAAGCCAAAAGTCCATTTTGGACGAACAACCGTGACTTACCGCCGGAATTCACAGCCGGTGAACAAGAAGAAGAAGAAGAACAGTCAACAGAAACTGGTGACCCAACGACATGTAGTATTACGGGATGATGATAATGAAAGATGTAGTAAATAATGATATACTAACATCATCATAGCCAAGCATACAGCTTCCAGTTTCTGTTCCCCCATGTGTTAAACTGTCTCTCTTTCTGAAAGCATCTGTAAAATATAGTTTAAGACACTATGGTACTCTGTGTCAGCTGTTACATTAGTACTAAATTAAAATAGTTTTAGACACTGCTACACACTATGTCAGCTGTTACATTAGTACTGAATTGAAATAGTTTTAGACACTGCTACACACTATGTCAGCTGTTACATTAGTACTGAATTAAAATAGTTTTAGACACTGCTGCACACTGTGTCAGCTGTTACACTAGTATTAACTAAAATAGTTTCAGACACTGCTGCACACTGTGTCAGTTGTTATGTTAGTAAAAGTAAAGTAAAGGACCATTTCCCAGGCCTTCAGGCATATAGGGCTAGACTTATATTTTATAGACCAGTTGGCACTTGGCGTGGCCCACATCATGCAGACCATGTTATGTTAGTACTCAAATAAAATACAGTCTTAGATACCACTGTACCTTGTGTCTGTTAGTGCATATCTAGAAAATAGTTTCAGACACAATTGTAATCTATAAGTAATCTGCTGAGAAGCACTTAGGGGCAGTGAAAATGTGGTCTTGAAGAAAATGTGGGCACCAAGTACTGAGAGAAAAGTTACTGTCACAATCCTTCGATCAAGGCGAACTGTGAAATGTTTTTCTCAATTGTACTTGCTTGTTAGAGTGTCTCCTGAAGTCCTTTATCTTACGCATCAACTTCCATCATTTTGAGGACATTAACTCTTCACGTATCACGTAGATCAGCATACATTTCTAAATTTCTATACGTGGTTTACATGTCTAAACGTGATATTTCAGCTTAATTTGTTCTCATCCCCCTGTTACATTGACCCAAGCTATCTCAACTTCGGCATTAACACGTTCTGTCCCATAACTGTACTATTTCAATTCATAACAGTTAAAGCTAGAGGATCAACTTCATTGCACCTGGTTTAACCCCGTGTGGCGCTGTATCTGTCCACAGAACAGCTAACCTGCCAAAAGCATAGCTCTTGTGATGATCTCCCAGGAATCTCTTTAAAACTCACAGCTGCTGAACAGTCAAGGATCTTGAAGAAACATGATTGTTGGTGCCTGCCAACAAGGGACTTGATGGTGACTGTGAATGTGTAGCCTTTTTTATTACAAATGACTTTCTGAGATCGCAGCAAACCGCTTTACCATTTTGCCACAGAGATCCCCAGAAAGGTTTAAAGACTATTACTCTAAAATACAACACTCCGTGGGATAGAAAGTTTTAAAAATTAAAAACGACTCACTTCATCCATATTACTGTGAAATCTGAAACTTTCAGGACTCACTGGCATTAACAGTAACAGTCTATCTTATGACACTTCACAATTTGTAATTAATAACAAACAGTAGCAGAGTTACTATATTATTTCCTTGTTCTTTTCTTGAATAATCACAGACTACCCATCTGGGTTTGGGCTCCCTAGAGGGATTGGGTGGGGGGTGAAGGGGAGACAAACCCACTGTCCCCAATCGAGCATGTCGTAAGAGGTGGCTTATTCAGGATTTACTGAACTCGTATGTGATGGGCCAAACAGCGCAGTAATTGCAGCCTAGCTGTAAACCACAAGACAGTGTGCTAACAACTATTTTAAGGGTGAAGAAGAAGAAGAAGAATCGTCGCAGTTAGGTTCAGTATAAAAGAGAATCATTACTTCTGCTGAAAATCACAAATATAGCCAGACACTGCTAGCGGTTTAGGCTATCTAGCAACAGGCTGAAAGTGGTCAAGTTTTCAATTTTTTTTTTCTCATTTAATGTCAAGTATGGTTATATTCGTGGCGGGTTGCGAGTCTGACACGTAATTCCAACGTACCCCGACCTAAACCCACTGCTGGCTGCGTGGATTTTTATCATGGTATGGGGCGTCGCAGATTGACCAAGCCTAAATTGGGTACCAGGAGGGCTGTCTTGGGGAAGTAAAGACAGCCGGCGTAATGCTGACAATATTACCCTCCTAGTGACGATTGGTCTGTAAAAATATGAGTGCTTTTCCCATATGCCTGATACGCCTAAAAGGCGTGAAAAGGGATCTTTACTTTATTTACTTATGGTTATATTCAAATCTGAATGGAACCGGACCTTTCTTCAAAACTGACTGCTCCCAGGTCAATCCTGCCTTAAAAGGGTAACATGTCAACTCCTGGGAAGTAAAAGCGGTCGGTATGATGTTGACCACACAACCAACCCAGTACCGGTTGGTCTAGCACTATATAAAAGCTCCTTTACTTTTACTTTTTATAATTATTTTAGTGATTCACATAATGCTGCATACCTGTGTACGCTCGAAGTCTTATAGAGACGGCCACAAAGTCATCGAATGCAATGATACAGCGGCTGTTAGGTGGCACCACACGAGAATAACGTTTAAGTATTGTCTCCAGTGTTTCTGGTTGGATCTGGTAGCCTGTAGAATGATAACATTTATGTATATGGGATATTTAATTAATTTTTTTTTCTCTCATAAAGAAAATGTGATTCTCACCAATACACAGAGGTAAAAGAATGCAAACCGGAAAGATTACTGAGACAGTATTTTCAACTGGGGATTTAAATCAGAAGTCTCACTTTATGCAAATATCTAAACGTGGTTATCTGATGGGCATTCTAACAATTTTGGTGGGAAAGATGGGGGTTTTGAAGGGCCGAATAAAAAACAGGCCTGCCTGCCTGATTTATGACCCTTTGTGGAAAAAAGTTCTGTCTATCTATCTGTCTGTCTTAATAGATGAAAGTATTTTAAGCAGATATAGACTATTTTCCCAAGATTAATTACAATTATTATGATTTATTGTTCATGATTTATTAGCTTAATCATCCTACAAATCATAAATACTACACATAATAATGGCATCCATCAGTCCCAAAGGGACTATGAAGATGTGCCGCTGGCTTTGGGAACAGCTTCCTCTGTGACTGTAAAGTCCGTTAAGGGAGTGGCAGTCTCTGTCACAAAGAATAAACAAAAAAGTTGATACTCCCACCCTGTGAGGCTGATTTTCACTCTGGTGTCTTCTCTCTATTGCTCGCTGTGTTTGGTTTCTTTCAAACTGTGTTAATCAATCTTTCACTTTCTGTTGCCATAGTAGTCGATCTGCAGCTGATTTTTTCCAAGTCTCTGTGACTATGTTGGTATCTATCAGGTCACATTTGCATATGTCTTTATAATATAGCTTTGGTCTTTCTGTAGGTCTTTTCCCTATTTTTAGTTCACCATACATATAGGAGGTCCTTTGAAATACTACCATCCTCCATGCGCGAGACATGTTGCAGCCAGCGCAGACGACTTCTTCAGTAGATGACCAACCTCAATGCGGAAGACACGTCCCAGCCAGCGCAGACATCTTTGCTTCAGTAGATAGTAACGTAAAAACTACACAACAAACAATGTTATCCAATGTTTAGCATAATCATACTACAAAAAGCTAGCTAGAGTTTCTAATACACAACTTGATATTTGTGTTGCTGCTTGCTGCAGTGTCAAGGGCTTGAACACACCCTTACATTTAATGTGTGCACATTCCAGCATTTGTAATTACGTTTAGCTGTTGATGATGATGTTTAATGTTTCCTGTTTAAAGATATATGAATAAAATGAGGCATGAAAGGGTGAGACATGAAAGGGTGAGACATGAAAGGGTGAAGCATGAAAGGGTGAAGCATGAAAGGGTGAGACATGAAAGGGTGAAGCATGAAAGGGTGAGGCATGAAAGGGTGAGACATGAAAGGGTGAAGCATGAAAGGGTGAAGCATGAAAGGGTGAAGCATGAAAGGGTGAAACATGAAAGGATGAAGCATGAAAGGGTGAGGCATGAAAGGGTGAAACATGAAAGGGTGAGGCATGAAAGGGTGAGGCATGAAAGGGTGAAGCATGAAAGGGTGAGGCCATGAAAGGGTGAGGCCAAAAGGACAGAATGTTTGATGGTTCTTTTTGCCCAACTCTTAAAACTGCCATTACCGCCTGTATTTACCACTTTCTTCTCCTTCTTCTTTGTGTGTGTGTGTGTGTGTGTTTGTGGAGTAGACGGAACAGAAAAAAAACAGGGTTGGGAGGGGCGGGGGGGGGGGGGGGGGGGCTGTCTTTGAGCCTGAAGATGTAGGGATGCAAGGCTTATGCTGTTGCCACAAACTTTACAGGTTAGGTCAAACCCCCACCCCCTTTTTTTTTCTCACCCACCCTTTAAGTACAAAAAGTTTGTTCATTCGTTCTAACAAGCTATCATGGTTTGAGGTACCATGCTTCTTCTTTTTATGTTCTTTGCTGATGAAGAATGGTTGAAACATTTGATTTTTTATGTTCTTTGCTGATGAAGAATGGTTGAAACATCTGATTTTTTATGTTCTTTGCTGATGAAGAATGGTTGAAACATTTGATTTTTTATGTTCTTTGCTGATGAAGAATGGTTGAAACATCTGATTTTTTATGTTCTTTGCTGATGAAGAATGGTTGAAACATCTGATTTTTTATGTTCTTTGCTGATGAAGAATGGTTGAAACATCTGATTTTTTATGTTCTTTGCTGATGAAGAATGGTTGAAACATCTGATTTTTTATGTTCTTTGCTGATGAAGAATGGTTGAAACATCTGATTTTTTATGTTCTTTGCTGATGAAGAATGGTTGAAACATCTGATTTTTTATGTTCTTTGCTGATGAAGAATGGTTGAAACATTTGATTTTGTTTATGGTACCCCCCATTTAATCTTCCTAATCATATCTTGTGTTCAGTGTATTCATTTTTAAAAAAAAAAGTAATCCAGGCTAAGGTGATACTAATGAGGACAATGGTGATGTATTGTACAGTGAATAGAATATTGTCTATTTTAACAGTTACATAATCCACTAACCAAACAATTGTCTGATGACTCTGATGAGCTCTGATGCGTCAATGAATCCATTTCTGTCTACATCATGCTGACAGAAGATCTTGTACCAGGCTACCAGACACTGCTGAAGTTCCAGAAACTCACTCCACTGCATGAAGCCATCCTGAGATCTCTGGTCTTTGTTAAGGTAAACGTGATCCCACAGCTGATGCTACTGCAGGGCATGCTACAGACTTAATGTTATATTTTTATCAGTCTGCCTGTCTATTTGTCTGTTTTTCCCCATCTGAGCTGCTATCTGAAGATATGACCATTCCTATGACTTCAAGAGTAACATTGTGGTGGATGGAAAAGCTATAGGGCAAATCTCAGATAAAATTGTTCAACTTCCTAAAAAGTTATAATTATGGCACTTGTAATAGCTACATAAAATATTATTTCCGACCTATGCTGTGGGATTTAGGATGTAATCATTTTGTTAGTTTTTTCCCTTTTTTGGCAAATCTATCAATGGTTGGATCTCAAGATATAAAAGAACATGATAATAAGAGACATCCCTCAATCAGCTTTATTTATTTCTCAAAGGATACATCCAGCATGGCAATCATAATGCTGCAAATAAATTTGTTGACATGAATAATTATGCAATAAATATAACAATAGTAAGTATACAAAAAAATATTCATCTCATTAATAATTATGCAGTACATATAAAAATAGTAAGTATACAGAAAAAAGCTTTAATTCTTGCCACTACATAATAAGTTCTTTGCAGTCCTTATTTCTTTCAGTCCAGGGTAGTGTGCAAAAGTTATTTCTTTTTATCAGCCAACATACTTCATGTGATATGTGTTCAAGAAAATTATTTATTAATGAAAGTTGCCACTGCCGCTGGCAGATTTTTAAAGCAGGCCATGACCAAAATGTAAAATATAACAAGATGTATTTCACAGTGTATGCGGCACAAAGGCAAGACATCTCATACTGCTTAGGACTGAAAAGATAAAAAGAGAAAACTAGCTTTGAATGTCTGTAATTGCTATCTGTGTTTTATGTGACAAATGTTTTATTGGAATCTGTATTACTTTAATCTGAGCTTTCATATCTCATATGGAACAATAGACTACAAATCACAACATTCATGTAATGTGAGTTATGAGTTAAGGACCCACATAACTGCACTTGAGACATTCCCACAAGTGCTCCATCCTCATCTTCAGCAGAAAGTGCAGAGCTCCAATTCTGATGAGACCAGTAGCAGTCTGAATGTATGTCAATCTCACCCCTTCCCTGAGTTTCGAGAATCGGCCAGATCCCCCGGTCACTCCTCACTGCCCCATTCTCTTCAGACCATGATGATCTATTTGTGTCTCTAAACTTTTCACTCATACCCAAAGGACCTGTTTAAAATCTAACTTGTCAAGCCTTGGTTCACCACCAAGTAGTGCAGAACTAGCCAGTCTATCTGTCTGTTCATCTCCAAACACACTATAACATGAAACTATAAAAGTTCTCTCTACTCTTGATTTCTACTCGGAACTTTCCAGTGTTTTCTTTAACAGTAATGTTTCCTGTTTCTTTTTTTTTATTTATATCCTTTGCATTCCCAATATGTCTGTCATTGCATTTAGTTTAATGCCTATAGTTTCTGCCCATAGGAAAGTCAGTTATATATGAAGAAACTTTTATGTAACAGGAAGAGTAACCTTCTAAAACAAATGTGGAAAAAAAAGCAGCAAGACATTATATTTTCTCAAATAAAGTTCAAGACAGCGCATAGATTTTATATTTGTATTTTGTTTGCAAATGAAATATTAGGTAAGTAGAAAATGCCTAAAATAAAAAAGTACTGTTTTCAAAGGACTATTAATGAGAGATTTTATATCAGTCCAGTTATGTCCAACACAAAAAGAATCAAATGAAAGACGAAAAAGAATAATTCAACCTGTAAATTTCTTTTAATTTATTTATGCTGAAACACATTAGCTTGAGTAATTAATGTTTCTAATTACAGAAAGTTTAGCTAATAAAAAATGAAAAATAACAACTTAAATTGTTACAGTTTAATATGGAACTTACCTGCACATTTCTCTACTCCAGTTTACTGAAATAAATAAGCAGTGAGAACATTTTTATACAGCTATAAACAAGAATGTGAATCTAATGTTTATGTATGGCAAAAATGTAACTTTTTATTAGTAACCTGACCAATATAATAATTTGCTCTGCATTGTTGAAACATATCAAACCAAGACAGTAATTTCACACAACAAGCATGTCAGTTAGTTCACTCATTAAACCACATCAGTTTAGTTCACATATCATACCACATCAGTTTAGTTCACACATCAAACCACATCAGTTTAGTTCACATATCAAACCACATCAGCTTAGATCACATATCAAACCACATCAGTTCAGTTCACAAATCAAACCACATCAGTTTAGTTTAAATATCAAACCACATCAGTTTAGTTCACATATCAAACCACATCAGTTTAGTTCACATATCAAACCATATAATTTAAGTTTACATATCAAACCACATCAGGTTAGTTAACATATCAAACCACATCAGTTTAGTTCACACATCAAACCACATCAGTTTAGTTCACATACCAAACCACATTAGTTTAATACCATATCAAACAACATCAGTTTAGTTTACATATCAAACCACATCAGTTTAATTCCACATCAGTTTAATTCACATATCAAACCACATCAGTTTGGTTCACATATCAAACCTTGTCACTTTAGTTCACATATCAAACCATGTCACTTTAGTTCACATATCAAACCATGTCACTTTAGTTCACATATCAAACCATGTCACTTTAGTTCACATATCAAACCATGTCACTTTAGTTCACACATAAAACCATGTGAGATAGTTCACACATCCATACCATCAGTTAATTCACAAGTCAAAACATCAGTTAGTTCACACAACAAATCACACATACTAGTGCACAGAAAGATTATTGACAAAACAACTGTATTTCAAAAACAAAACATGATACATACTTCTAAAAAAGTTACGTATGCTAGGGGTGTTGTTCAGGACATTCATCAAATCCTCTGACTGAATTGCATTTCTCATCTGGAATATTTAAAATACTGTCAAATTCTATCATGTCTGCCAATTAGGTAATTGATTCAATGGTAGAAACTAGAAAAAAAAGAAATTACATAGTAAGAGAAACAACATTATGCAGAAAAGGATGAGTAAACAAGTGTTAACAGGAAAATACATCTAACTCCTCTCTTGAACACTTTATAGCATAAGTCAGTGATTCCCAAACTGTGTGCCGTGGTGCCCCGGGAAGCTGCAACCTCTTCACAGTTGCGCCGGGAAATAATTTAAGATACACAAGTTGTATTTTGTTCATCTCTTACACATGAATAGTCATACCTTTACTTAGGCCAGGGCGCCGTGGAAAAATGTTAATTAAAAAAGGAGCCCCGACTAAGAAAAGTTTGGGAAACACTGGTGTAAGCAGTAGGAAAAAAATGAAGAAGAAAGAAGGAAAATTAATGTTAACTTTTTTGGATGATGCAATATTAAAATAACCTTTCTTATTAAAGCTTATGTTGATCGTGCAAATTAATTGGCCCCTTTCTGTCTTTTCAGATGATAGTGTTATATTTTGCTATGAGGAGGCATCGGACTCCCAGCCAGAGGCGATGGTGAGTGTCATTAGCAAGACCCGCCATCGCAGAGAAAAGTCTTCCACAATTATAGCATGGGATATCAGGAAACAAAATGGTGCTCATTATACACCAAATATTGAGTGCTTCCAGAGCCTTTGGACGAAGCAAAGTTCTAAAAAAATAAAAGCATAATTTAGAACAACTAAACAGAAAGTAATATGCTTGTAATCCAGCAAATGATAAGGGTGAAGCAATTAAACAGCATTGTTAGCAATACTTCTTTTTTTCTTTGTACACCTTTAGAAGTTGACCAGAATATATTTAAGGCAAAACAATCAATAAGAAATTAGACAGTAAGAAACAATAATCTCTGATCATTACCATATTTTCAGGATTTTTCTGCATTTCTTGTGTAAAAACCATTTCCAGATCACTTGGATGTCTGAACTGATATGCCTGAAAGCAGTTTTATTTTACAAATGCCGTTAAGATACATACATTGATTTATAAGACTCACTATATATATAAAGAACAATTATAATGAAATAAATGAATACATGAATGATATTTGGGATTAAATCTCTAACACTTGCTTGTAAGAAATGTACTGACTCATTCATTTACATTTATTCAAGTAAATAAAAGGGAAAAGAATCAGATCTGATTCAAAAAGCAGATGAGAAATTAATTATAAAGAATGTAAAGTTTAGAAGTGAATATTTTATTTTAACTAACCCACTAAATGAAAACTTTGAAATAACAGCAGAAGTGGTTATTAACTATCACACATAGAGCTGAATGAAAAAATTGAAGGCAGCAAAGATGTGGCTTTGAGAAGTATGTTAAGAACATCATATGCAGAGAATGAGACAAATATTGAGAAGGGTGCATGAGTTAAAAATATCATTCATTAAAACTAAAGGGTAATGATAAATATAATTGATAGGGTATATCAACAGAGAAAAGTGTATGTGGAAATCAATAATGAACAAATAATAGTGTAAACAACATCAAGTTCATCAAATAGCATAGAGGACTGAAAAATCATAAAAACTGTTCAAGTTTTTCATTAACATGTCAAGGATGAGAACCAAGCAGCTACAAATCCCAGAAACCCTGTGCCCTGTTTAGCCATACAGCCACACATAACAGTTACATTAGGGAACCACAAAATGGTTATAAAGTAACCAGTAGTCCAGAATAGGTGGATTTTCAGGATGTGCATGAACAATAATTTTGTATCTCCTTACCAGGCACTGAAGGAAAAAGAAGATAAAATGTCTGCCACAATGTGGATTTTCATTGTAAAACATTTGTTTTGAGATGCCATATGAAATCATGAAATCTGCCAGCTATATGCCACAGTAAATATAGTCATTAAATTACCATATTTGTTTGAATATTTCATATAAACTGTGAATGTTTTTTCGGCATAGTATTACAAAAACAGCTGCACTTACTTCCCAGGCATTCACTTGAAATACATTCTTTGTGTAATAGTTGCCATAACTGCCATAGTGTTGGCTTGGTTGTTGGTACATCTGATACTGCGTCTGATAATAATTTGCTGGGGGTACATGACCATAGTTTTGAGGAGGTCCATGAGTTGGCATGTCTGCATACATGTCTTGACCCTGTGAATATCCTCCGTAGTATGTCATGTCTCGATTATTATGCTTGGTGTGGTGCTGTTTGTCGTGGATAAGAACATAGGAAGAAATCAATAATGACTGTTTAACAAATAAAATAGCTACATACATCTTACCTATTGGTATTTTATGATAAGGGATGCCACTGTACACAGGACATGCCAGTTAGAACTATATCTTTTTCAAAAGATTAAGAAATGGCTGACTACCCCAACTTTTACTATTAGTAGTAATTTTTCTAGAATATCTTGTTCAACCCTCAGGGTTATAATTGGGATATATAGTGTTAATTGAGTTCTCAATGTATATGTATGTTATATTAAATTTATATATCATGTAATTATATAAACAAAGTGCAGTTTGTATAGTTCCATATTTTGCTTTGATCGGGGTTGTGATCATGACAGAAATTGTACTATGAATAATTAGACACTGACTATGAATAATTAGACACTGACTATGAATAATTAGATAATCTTGATAGCACTGTGTCATTATTATGGTGGATATATTGTTTTCCCAACTTTTACTAGTATATTGTAAATAAATTATAGTAATAGTAATAATACAAAACACTGTAATGACATAGTTTTAAACAAATTAATACATTTAATTTTAACCCCCCCCCCCCCACACACACACGCACGCCCACACACACACACCCACACACACACCCACAAATACACACAAGATTACATGTGGTTCCCCATGATCTTCTTCTTCTTCTTCTAAGATCCCTCTCTTATAAAACTTATTTCAGGAGGGGTGTAGCCTTTATAAAAGCTATTGTGCAGTCTAAACCTCCTTGTGTACCATACAACTTTGTTGACAATGTTTGAGCACATGCTCAGCATTTTGTGGAGCCAAGCTGTAGGGACACATCTTTGTGTTACCTACACCTAAAAATTTGAAAATCTGCTGCTGAAGTCTGTTGTGCCCTGTCCTTAGTCTGTGTGTATATCCGGCCACCTTTCTTGGATGCTTCATTGATGATAAATACTGCTAATGATGTGTGATCACTTAGGTCTTTGTGTATTCTAAGCTCTAATAAAAAGACATGAAATGGCAATTCCTTTCTAGTGAATTATCAACAACAACAAAAATTTAATGTCTGTTACTGGTTTGATGAGACTGGGTCAACCCCCAAACTGCAGAAGATAGAAGAAGAAAACACAGCCTGCCAAAGCTTGCTGTGGAGCTTGGCACACTCACTAATCACTACGTCCCCATTAATGAAAATCCTCCCATAAAGGTATAAAGTAAAACTGTTTTAAAGACTTCAATTGTTCCATCCTGTTCGTGGTCCATGTTGGGATTGATGAAGTGCTGATTTTAATAGTGGCTGTTGGGGGAGGGGGGGGGGGGTTTATTTTGTATTGCATCATTCCCTTTATAAGACAACCCCCCCCCCCCCCCACCCACCCCCTTTTCAATCCCCTCTTTCCAAT